ATTACCCCTTTTTTATCTATTATATATTATACTCTTATAGTCTAAGACCATAGCCAGCCTAGTCTTTATAGGGGCTTAGTCTTCTCTAATACCTCCTTAGCCTACTACTAAATAGCCTTAAGCCAATTATTATATAAGCTGCTATAAAGGGCCTTAATAAATTCTCTTTCTTTCTAGCTTAGATTTATCCCTCTAAGTAACTTCCCTTTTAGCTTATAAAATAGCTTTATCTTATAATTAAGGAAGCCTTTATTAATTAGCTAATAGTAAGGCTATATAAGCAGGAGAATTTTATAATTAAAGATTATTAATTTAATATAATTAATATTATCCTCTTTTTCTTAATTTATTTTAATTTCTATTATTATATTATAAAGCTTATTATAATTATTTTTTTTAATAGCTTATTTAATTTTATAAGTTATATTATAATTATTTATTAAATAAGGCTTATTAGGATTAGGTAGTTATAGGCTTCTTTTAAGTATTATAATAGTAAAGTTATAATAATAATAGTAGTTATAATTATAAGGTATAAGAAGTTAAATTAGATTATTTACTATATAGTAGATAATTTAAGCATACTATAGGGATTAGTAATAGAGTAGCCTTTAAAGTAGATTACAGGAAGAAGATTAAGGCTAGCTAAAGAGTAAGGCCCTTTAGCTAGGTTATATATAACTAGGTTTAAGCTATAATTAAGGCAGCTAATTATAATAATATTAACTTAATAAAGCTTTACCTACTAAGGGGTAATAAATATTTAAATTATATTAGATTTTAGAGATACTTAGATATACCTTTTAAGGCTAACTTATAAACTTAAAAAAAGAAATATTATTATTATCTTATTATCTTATTTATCCTCTTAAGGTAAAGTTAAAAGTATTAGTTTTAAGTTTAACTTATTAGTTAGGGTTAAATATAGCTAAAATAGATTTACTTATAATAGCTAATTTAAGCTATTTAAAGGCTTATTATACCTTATTATTTTATTAGAATTATTTATCCTTTTTAATAATCTTAGTAAGAGGGATAGTAATTTTATTAAAGTCTTTTATAAACCTTTAGTAATAATTAGTAAATCCTAGAAAGGATTAAGTTTTTTTTACTAATATAAGAGGTTTCTATTTAATAACTACTATAATTTTTTATTTATTTATTTAAATTTTATTATATAAGATTTTATATCCTAAGTATATTACTTAAGACTAATAGAAGTAATATTTAATAGGTTTAATAAGTATATTAATATCTTATAATGCTTTTAAAACCTTATAAATATATTTTATATATTCTTCTTTTATATTAAAGAAGATAAGGATATTATCTAAGTAATATATTATAAAGAGGTTAAAATATTCTTAAAGTATATTTATAATTATATATTAAAATACTATAGGTATATTAGTTAATTTAAAAGGTATAATTAAATATTTAAATAATTTATATTTTATTTAAAAGGCTATCTTTTATTTATTATCTTTTTTAATTTAAATAAGATTATAAGCAGATTTAAGATTAAGGGCTATAAATTATTTCTTACTAAATAGGTAATTTTTAAGTTTAATAATAAGTAGTAATAGTATTTTATTTTTCTTTATTATTTCATTAAGTTATTAATAACTTACTATAAGTCTTAGTTTATTAAAGTTAGGTTTTAATATAAATATAACTAGGTATCTTACTAAGGATTTTAATAGCCTAATATATCCTTTTTATAATATATTATTTAATTATTCTCTAAGTATATTAAGCTTA